ATAGAAAAATAAAAATTAAAGATTGGTCACTTCTATAGAAAAAATTATAAAAAATTATGATCATTATAGTAAAAACCATTTCCTAGTTTATGCATAATAATAAGTATTCATTCTTTGAGAAATTTTTTTTCTCTCCTTATAATATATGTTGATTAAGGCAAGTTTTATCTCTTTGAAATATGATCCACATAAGAAGATGTCCTCACTAGAGGAATTATGTAAAATCCAAACTAAATTCTTCATGAAATATTAAAAATAACTCGGAAACAAAATGAATTAAATTAAAATTGAGGAAATTAAAAATTAATGTCAAAGGCAAAATTAAAATGAAATGATAAGAGGAGAAATCAATTAGAAAATTGTGGGGACAAAATGAGAATTAAATGAAAAGATGGGGTTACTGTGTAATAATTCAAAGAATTGACTATAAAAATTCTCTCTCAGACACTTTAATGGCCGGCTAGAAGTAACGGAAAAAAAAAAGAAAGAAAAATAAAAAAAATTGAAGAGAATTCCTAGGGAAAAAACATTAGAAAACCAACAAAATTGAAGAGCGACTGTGAATTACCACCCTTAAATACTTTATTAAGAAAGAGAAGTTATGGAAAGGAAAAGAAACTAAAGGGGTTGTCATGGTACTGAAGAAAAATAAAGAGGGATTTTTAAAATCTCGACAGGTTAGGATTTGAAGACTAAATTAACATTCAGTTAGTGGGATGTTCTAAATCCAATTTAGTAATTTTATATGAAACTAATAACAATTGAGGTAAAAATATTAGAATTAAAGTTAGGGTTTATGATAGAAATTTGGGGAAAATATAAATTAATGATAAATTAACTCAATTGGGTTAGAGTAATTTATAATGGGTGTTAAATTAGTGAGAATTAATAAAGAAAGCATGGTAATCCTAAAGGCATTCATAACTTGCCAAAATGGTGCTAATTAATGCATGATGGAAATGTATTTATTTAAGTGAATTGTAATTTATCAATCCATAATTTTATATTTAAAATCATTTTAGGTAAGCTTAGTTATATCATGTAATATGAATTGAATCAATTATGTCTTTAATCTTAAGATTGGTTGTAGAACTTAGACATGAGAATCTTTATAATTGGTTGATTTTGTGTACAAGGAGAAACTTAATGGAAAATATATATTTTTATCTTATTATCCTATTGTTAGTGTGAATTATGATAATTTATTTTGAAGAATTGAAAGTATATATTACTATGCTAATATTATGGAATGTAAATTTGGTATGAAATCTCACAATGAGCATGTTTTTTCTTGAAATAGTTTTAATTATTTTAAATAAATAAGAGTCAGGTTGATAAGTTTTATAAAATTGTATTTAATGATATTATAATGTAAATGACATGATAAGGATTGTTTTGAAAGGTGAGAAACTGAATAAAAATATTTGGTTTATCATAAAGTCATAGGAATGAAAACTGGACAATCTCATCTTCTAAAATCATTAAGGCATGAAAATGATAATATTTGGGATAGGTTTCTTCATTCAAGTTATAGTATGAGGTGTTAGCTTTTTAGAGGGATTGACCTTACTTAATTTGAAGCTCTAAAACTCCATATATGGATCAAAATCTGAGATAAGATAAATCTAAAAATTATAATAGATAATTTTGATAAATTATGATAACAGGTGGTTTGAGTGCGTTAATGGAAAACTGGGCTTTCTTTTTTCATTAAAATATAGTTTGAAGTATTAGCTTTCATAAGAAACAAGCCATGTTCAAAACCAAATTTTTATAATTTTAGTTACAATTATAATAAGAAACTATGTTTTAAATGGTCAAAATAGATTGATTGGGTTTGAATAACTTTTATTTTTGCCTAAGATTTTTTATAATGTAAAAATTAAATTGTTAAGGTGGTAAGAGTGAAATGAAATAAAATGATGTATACTTGTTGATACAGAAGAGGTCTTGAGTATAGTTTTAAAACTCGGTTCGACCTAGCGAGTCAACCCGAAACCCGGCTGACCTAGGCTTGAAACTGGGTCAGGTTTATGAAAAAAATAAGAGAAGTCAATACTCTGGTTGAACTGAAGGATTGACCTAGTGACCCGATCAAAACCTAGTTGTAACCTTTTGACTATTTATTTTTTTTAACCTAAACAACATCTTTTTTATTTATAAAAAAAATTAAAGTTGTCCTGGATGACCCGATCAAAACCCGTGACTCGATTCTTGGGTCAGGTCAACCACTAAACTGGTTTAAAAACACTGGTCTTGAGAGCTATGCAATAGCAGGGGAACATAATAAGAGTTTCACCATCAGATAGATGTTTAACACCTTAATTCTTTTATTTATCAAGTTTTTAAAAGTAAAACAATTATCAATGTATAATTTTCATTCATGCAGATAAATTGAAAAGAAGGAACTAGTTTTCCAATAATGGGACTAGTGCTCATTAATGAGCAAAATAATTAGTTTCTTGGTAATAGAACTAGTGTTCGGTAATGAGCGAAGGAACTAGCTTCTTGGTAATGGGATTAGTGCTTGATAATGAGAGAATGAACTAGCTTCCCGATAATGAAATTAGTGCTCAGTAATAAGCAAGAGAGATAGTTTTTCATAAATGAAACTAGTGTTCAATAATGGGTGAAGAAACTAATTAACTAGTGAGGAAACTAGCGCTTGAAAAATGGGCACAGAGACTTAGTTGTCTGATGATTTGTTTTCTCCTAAATATGAAGGATGAAAATAATTATCCAGATGGGTGAGCGATACCTGAAAATGGGTCGATAACTCTGAGTTGAGGGTGATTATAATTCATATTAGATTAATTAAGATTAATTAGTTTGTAAAAGAAATAATCGATAGTAACATAATATAGTTGCAATGAAAGTAAAATTTAAGGTTATTTCTTTTGTTTAGTTTTGTTTATTAAGTAACTTAATTATATTTATATTGAATTAAATTGTAGATACTTCGCAACTTGAGAAAATTGTTAGAGATGTAGGATATTTTTTTGTTAAAATTAATGATTAATGATCATGTAATCTATTTTGTAATGTCTACTTGGTATATAAGAAATAAAAATCCTTTTTTTTTTTATCTTCTAAACTACTTAAATTATAATATGTTAATCAACTTTTATAATTTATGACTCTTTATTATGACATATATAATTATGAATGAATGTGATTACCTTATGATGTTTTTTTGATAATCTATCTATCTATATATATATATATATATATATATATATATAAAATAAGTAAATTATAATAGTGAAAGTGTTAGAATATAGGATTAAAGATTATTTTAATTTCATTGATACATGTCTAGATAATTGGACAATGTTTAAGTTGTGTTTAATAATTATTAAACTGAGAATAAATTTTAGTTGATAACTTGTGATTAAGGTATAAAAAAGACTTTGTCCAAATTCAATAGATTTTTATTATTACAAATGTATAATTTTTTTTTAAAAAAAAACGTAAATTAATGTGTGTTTGAATGCCAAAATGTCCTAACATACAGTACCAACAACCAAGCCGGGTCATTGAAGTTTTTGTGAAAATTCATTTTGCACTTGAAGCCTAGGACAATGGTGGAGGCACAAACATGGGCAACAAGGAGAATCAACAGCAACCTATGAATAATGGATGGCACCACCGTGTCACCCACCAGGGCCACCACCAATGACCAAGTTCTTGACATATATACTTCATTAAGGTACTCGTCTATGTCTTTTAATCAAGTTATTGGGGCAACCAGACCATTTTTTACTGCTATTTTTGCCTTCTTGATAACATGCAAGAAAGAATCTGCTGAGGTTTATTGTGCACCTTTGCCTGTGGTTTTAGGGATTGTTATGGGCCTTATGGCTAGTAATAGTGAGCCTATGTTTCATTTTTAGGGTTCTTGGTCTGTTCAACTGCTGGACGTGCTTTGAAATTTGTGGTTCGAGGGATTATGTTACATCAGAAGCCTAGAAATATTCTAGGCGAGAGTTGCCAAAACCGGCGAATCACTTCCTCCTTCCCCCTCTGCAGCTCCACAGCTAGAGAGTGCTACAATACTCGCTATACATTTATAGTGAGTGCTGTAGACAAAGCCAAAGTAGAGAGCTCTTCGGATAGCATCAATGCTGCGGGCAAAACATGTATTTGCTATTTATTATAGCTAAAGAGCTTAATTAGAGAGAAACAATGTAGGTGCTCTAAGCATCATGGGAAGTAGCTAGCGACCGTGGTGTCATGTCCAAAATTGAGGCTAGCAACGACGGCGTCGAATTTAGAGATGCCCCCGCGCCCTACCAGTCTAGATTCAATCCAATCCATGAAAACCGCATCATTTCTTAAAAAAAAAAAAAAAAGAAATTAAGAGAGAAGGCATAGACGAAAACGGATATGAGAGAAAAATCCAATGAAATGCATTAAAAAATAAAAGATTACAATAATTTTATCTCACTTGTACATAAAACTAAATCTTTTATTTATTCAAGTACAATCTATCAAGTCAAATTCTACCGAATTCTCAAACTACGAAAATCATTACTCTTTTAAGTTTTTATGTACGTGTATATAGATAGATAGATAGATATATTCAGTGGCAGAGTTTTTACAAGACCAGGGGGCTGAAATCCAGGTCAATAAATTAATTTAAAAAATTCTATAAACCTAGCACAAATAATTAATTAGTTGTTTTCTTTTATCTTCCACGGAAAACCTAACACAAATAACTAATTGGTTATCATAAAGCCTAAACATAAATAATTAATTGGCATGAGAATTAGATTTACATGCCTTCCAAATATTATAGGTTTTAGCTTTTTTTCTTAACGGTACATAGAGAGCTACAAACGTACAGAATCAGTAGGTAAAATTAAATTTATAGTTCCTGACTTTTTATTTTAAATTTAATATTTTACATTTATTGTAATAGATTATATCCTAAAAATCTAATAATTTGAATATATTAATTTTTAAAAAAAAACTTTAATGGGTCTCAATTCATAGCTCATGATTCGATAAATACCTTATTAAGTGTGTTGTTTTAATTTATGTAGAGTAGAAGAAAACATGACCAAATTGTTTAGTGATAATTTCTTTTTTATTTTTTTTAATACATCATTCTAGACCATATTTTTTTAATTTTTTGAAATCACTTCAAACTAAATTAACATTAATTTGAGTTGAGCTGAAACAAGCCAAGCATATACACAACAATTAGAACCGAGGTTACAAGGACACAACAAAAGATAAACACATGAAAAAATGTGACACGAGGGCTATGGAGTTCAAATTTATACTCATGAAAAAAAAAAAAAAACACATGAAAAAATTGTTGGTGTCTCAAATCATAGTGAACAACTCCCTTTCAAATCTCAAAAAGTTAAAATTGATATTAATATTCTTGAACGAGATCTTCAATTATAAATTTCAATGTGACAACATCCTGTTAATCAATAAAATTAAATTAAAAAAAGCTTATATCAAAATGGATCCATAACAATCTAAGTTAGCAGAGTATCAATTTTCTTAGCTAGAGTATTCTTCATCAAAATATACAGTATTTTACTTTTTGTCTCACCCGACATCGCGGCGGCCTTAAAGATTTTAATGGAATGGAAAGA